GTACTCCTCAAGATTCTGATTACCCTATTGTAGATTAAAGTATTCCTGATACAACTGATATACTTTGGTTGTATTGTCTTGGCCCGAATACAGCTTCTTAGCATGGTCCCACACTTCTTTGGCAGTATCAAGAAACATGAAATTTACACTAATCTCGGGTTCCATACTACTCCATAACCATGTGATAATCTGTGCATCTGCTTGCTCCATATCATTATACTCATGAGAATCTGTGGAGGGTTTTTCGTCCCGTATGTGTTTCACCTTCTTCTTTGCCTTAAGAAAGACTTCTACAGATTTAGCCCAAGGTACATAATTTTCTCCATTCAGCKTAATGGAGGTCATTTGAACATTCAGGTAGTCAGTAGGAACCATCACACTAGTCTTGCTATCACTGTTGTCTCCCATTGCTGAATTCTGGTATTGCTGAATTCGGCACACTAGACCACACTACACACTGATTTCAACACTTACTATTGCTGTAAACTGCACTCTTTACACCACAAACCCTACCTCACAACTACTTGAAACTTCACCACACTGTTTGAGGAACACTTCCCCTTCGAATCACACTGAAAAATGCACAAACCCTAGCACACTACAATCAGAAATCCCACTATACAGTCTGAAACAGACTTATCATTTAATTCACACCAAGAAAATGCATAGAACCTCTTACTTGATCCCCCGAAAATCAGACCACACAAGGCACCCACTGCACCACACGAATCAGCTCTCTTCTCTTCATCGATTAGGGAAGGGCTTCTTAGAAACTGCAGCAACCGATAACAAACACCACAACTGGAGGCATAGAGGCCTCCAAGGGAAGAGGGCGATCACTGCTTTTCAGCCCTTTCCCTTATCTCCAACTGATGGCGAAGAAAGCAAGAGAAAACCCTAGACTGGGTGTGCAGAGAACAGCTAGGCAGATCTGATTTGCTCAGTTTTGCTCTGATACCATATTAGAGTTCGGCCTGCCTGTTAGATTGATAACAGTCAAGGAAAAAAGAGAAGAGAGAAAGAGAGAAAGGAGAAGAGTAGAAGAGAAGACAAGGAGGAAAAGGTCTGGTTCGAATGAGAGAAAAGTCAACCCTCCCATTCGGCCAGATTTGTTTTATATTACTAAAATATTGTGGAAAAGTGACATGTGCCCCTACTTAAGTTAGGGACATTAGATCTAACATAAACTTACACATCAGCACCTAAACATAAGCACAAAGACAGAAATACCCCTACATACTCGACACTAACAATTACCAACTACAACCAAGTGTGTATTGCCCTTCTTTCTTGTCTTAAACTTTTCAGGTTTCAAGTGACAATGAAGCTTTCAACATTTGTTCTTAGTATGTCTGGGCTTCTTGCAATATTCACAAATTACATCAACAGACCTCTCAATGATTATAGACTTACTATTGGTTTAGCCCTGTTAAGAAATCAAAAAGCCCTATTTTTCTTAACATATTTCCTGTACTTCTCCCCATCTTCTAGATCTTCCCACTCTAAGGCCTCCGAATGATCAATTTCTTCCCACAGGGACTGTAAGGAGGAGAAGTACATAGCTGCAGTCCTCTCCCCTGACACAAACGACAAGCCTCTCTACGGAGCCGATAAATCCTAACAATGTTTTTGGCTTGAGAATAGGTAGCCGTGACCCTATCCCAAATATCCTTAGCAGTGGATAAGAACATGTGGTTATGGGCCATTTGTGGCTGCATGGAGTTGTTTAAGGTGAAGCCAAAATAAGAAAGAAAGAAGAAGAGAAAAAAGGGAAAAGTAGTGAGTTATGAAGGTGTGTCTTGGGTTACTGTTCACACCAGAGACAGCCTTTATAATTTTGCTGAAAATACAAATTTTCCTTTACTTGGGCACCCAAATACAAAGGGGAAATAAAAACCCAAACAAGCCCTTTCATCATATTGCATATTCTCAACACTCCTACACTCCTCAGATTGTACTAAAGCATTGACCTCCTAGGCTGAAAGGAGATCCTTCCCAAAATTTGTACCTTGATTGATTTATACATGGGGTTCAACCCCAAAAGCAAGACAAATACCTGTTGTTGGGAGACAAGAGATTTATAAGCTTTTACATCTTCATCACATTTCCAATCCACATTTTGATAATGATCCAACTCCTTCCAAATCAAAGTCAAATCTGAGCAATACACAAAGAGACTCCTCTCCCCCTACTTACAAGTAGATGATTCAGCTTGCAATTGGTATGTTTTTGTATAGTGTTTCTGCTCCAAATAGGTAGATTTTGTCTGAGACTAGAAGCCACGATATCACCATACTATTCTCTTGGTTCCATTTCATGTTCAGCACTTCTTGATATAACCTATTTTTCCCCTTACCATTGATATAACCTATTTTCCCCCTACAATAATGTAAAGCTTAATTCTGTTACACCACTCAAGGTAGTTAAGTCCATCAAACGGAATTACAACCATAGAGAAATTCATATCCAACCCCCACTCAATCCATTTTGGTTAGAGGAAACACCAAAAATTGTAGAATTGAAGTCCATAGAGAAATTCATCTTCAGCCACAAACTCAGTTGAAGTCACTTTTAATACATTTCACCACTAAACTAAGAATAAGAATTGAAGTCACTTTTAATACAAGCCAGCACTAAGGAAAAATAAGAATTGAAGTCCACAGGAATTATTTCACCATCTGAGCACAAAGCAACACCACTAAACCAATGACAGCAATTGTTTTTCAAATCTAAACAAGTCCGACAACCACAGTCCAGCCCCACTCTAGGTTATTTGATCACCACGATCACAAAAAGGAATATACTACTGCTGCCGCACCAAAAGCAGGTCACACCTGACCTACGACTGCTCATACCTGATCACAGAGGATCACATGATCCACATAAGAGGTTCACCGGACCTACAACTACTCATACCTGGTCACGAAGGATTACACAATCCACATACAAACGTTGGGAACTGTTAAATCCCCTCGCAGCATTCAGCACCTTGTCCTTAGAGCTTTTATTTCTTGGCACACAACCAAGAAAAAGAGGAAAAAAGAAAACATTTCACCTAGAACCAATCGCAGGTGAGTTTCTTGAGTCTTAGTCTAGGAAAAACAGCAAGAGAAGGGAGAAACAAGAGCAGAAAAATATGAGAGCCTAAAAACAGAACTGGCAGGGCAAAATTACAAAGAAGTCCCTGTGGCCTAAGTAATAACAAATGTCAACAGTTAACATGTATATTTGATAGGTAATGATATTAAAGCATTTCATCAGATGGTGCATCTTCCTGCTCTATATCCAACCAAAAGCTACAAAGAGTGACCATTTACAGATTTTCATACATAGCTATCGCTTTAGCAAGATGATCTGCTATTGCATTATCTGACCTTGTAACAAAGACAATGAACTGTGAGGAAAGGAAAAGGTGCTTCTTTATTTCAAACCATTCACTGGCCTATTGAGGTAAACCAATTTCTACTCAAAGCCTTTTCTTGTGGTTCAATCCCCCCAAGGTGAAGGTGTTCTGTTGGGAAGTTGGTAATCAAATTATTAATACTAGTGAAAGGCTCCAAAAAAAAGTGGAAAAGCCAGTGTCTCTCCCCTTGTGTGTATTCTATGCTTGAGAAGTGAGGAAAACGCTAACCATCTTTTGCATCTCTGTTATGCTACTCAGCTTTGGAAACACATATTCTCTATGGAAGGGGGCATCTGAATTGCCCAATCAGATGTTATGGAGCTGTTCAATACAAATTTAATGGCATGCAAAACCTGAAGACAGAAATTATTATGGCAGTGTACACAGGCAACAGTGATTTGGAGTTTGTGGAACAAAACAAAATGCAAGAACTTTTGAAGGTAAAGCATTAAGGATCAAGAGGTTGATTGATCTTATTATGGTAAGGGTTGCTCATTGAATTGGTGAGTGATGATTTTAAAGGATTCACCTTAAATGATCTTCTAATAGGGTGGAAAATAATCCAGGGGAGTCTGGAGTTGGGGTGCAATAAGAGATCATAACAGAAATATTTTGAGCTTTTCTGGCTCAATTGAACAAGGCAATTCTGTAGCTAAATGCTGGCCTTGAATGATGAGTATGAATGGTATGCAAGATGTTAAAGTGGAGGGTGACTACTATAAGCCATAATTCACTGGATGAAGAAACAAGAGGAGATTCCTTGGAGTTTCAGACCTTCAGTTAGGCAAAATTCCTATGTAGCAGTGTGAATAGCTGATTCATCTGAGTGCCTAGAAGTGCTAATGCTTTCGTTGATTTTTTAGCAAGAACAGGGGCTATAAGGGATCATATGGAGTAAGTATTACCAGGGATAGGTATCAATTTGTAACACTATTAGTTCTTATATGACTTAGCTTTATACTCCTTTGTTCTGCTGCCCACTTTCTTTGGAAGTGTGAGAGAACAAGAATTGGAAGAAATTGATATCTTTTTCAACTGAGAAAATAGTACATATATATACAGCCTTGTAGATACTAAAATAGGAAGAAAATCAACTACCTCCTCCAAGAATAATTCCTATAATCAAGCTATTCCTAATTGGGCTAATACTCCATAATTACAGCCTATAATTACAACCTATAATCTCGTAACAGGCAGTTGGGAGTTGCTTTTAATGAAATATAAATGCTATTTATCTAAAAAATAACTGCCAGGAAAGGCCTTCATCCATCTGATGACAACTTGGAGATCGATTTCTTTCTTAGAAGTTAAACTCTGTTTAGAGTTCCTTAAATCAAGTAGGGGCTGTGTCACAATTACTCTTAACTTCTTTTTTGTAAGTTCTCCCCATTTAAATATCCTTAATTTTTTTGGGGGAAAGTGTATTAGGTGTACCTTAATTTTTAGGAATCCCATGTTTGAGATAATTTTCAAAAAAAAAAAAAAACAGGTTATGTTGCATTATCTCTTTAATATTTAAATGGTTTAATGGTATTTTCTGTTTCTCATGTTTAGATTGTTGGGTGAGTTTGATTAATGACTTTTTTGTTATGTGCAGATTGTGGTATGGAAGTTTCTTCGAAGATCAAAAGGTTCAGATGTTCTGGGTACCAAACAAGCATTGCTTTTCATTGTGTTGCTTCAATATATACCCAGATTTACCCGGCTGGTACCCTTGACTGCAGAATTGAAAAGGACTGCCGGTGTCTTTGCTGAAACTGCCTGGGCTGGTGCTGCATACTATTTGCTGTGGTATATGCTTGCTAGTCATGTAAGTTGGCATATTTTGGTCTTGGAATGTCATTTATCTAATAGCTTTGTTTCAATGTGGACATGCTATTTTGGTTTATTTCTAGGGGTGATCATTTCAGCCCGGCCCTGCCCAGCCTGCACAAGCCTGACCTAGAAATTCCAGGCTTGGGTCTAGGTTTTCTGTTCAGGCCCTGCCCAACCCCGGCATATTTAAATATATGTATTTTATACAAAGTATATATACGTATATATGCTCTTTTATGTCATATTATATATTTTATATATAAATATTATACTATGAGATTTATAATATATATATATATATATATTATGTAATATTCTATATTATATAATGTATAAAGTAAATTTAAGCCTGGGCCAGACCTAGGCCATAGCCCTTATCAAATCCCAGCCTGGGCTGACCCATGCTCACCCCTATATATTTCTCTATTGTATTGAGCATATTCTCACTTCTTTCTTATCTAAGAGCATTCTGGTCTTTTTATCCTTTAATATTTATATAAATATAGAATAGGATGCTGATGCCCCCATTCTTCATGTTCATTGAGTTCTCTCTTCTTCTCTTTCACACCTTCTTTTCTTCTTCTCCCTTGCATTGAACACTTGGTAGACCATTTAGATTAACCCAAGTTGGTTTCGTAGCCAAAAGAGAAACAAGATTGGATTTTTTTTTCTTTTGCTCTAGACAATTGGACTTTTCAGAAACATTCATCTAGTTGCCTTCCCAAATAGAGAATCCTTGCCATCCACCCTTGCAGGTGATCTGTCCTTTGATGCCTGGTAGAGCAGGATTGAATTTTGGAGCATTTTTTGAGTTCTCAAACTGATTTGAGAGGTTTTTCTTTTGTGATTTTTGGTGAAAAATAATAAAAAAAATAGTTTTTCATATTCTGATTTGTGTGATCTTGTGAGTTAATGAAAGCATATGGGATCTGAAGTTCTTGGTTTGGTGGTTGAGTATAGGAGAAAGGCACAATGACAGTCTACCTGAAAGAGATGGCCTTGTAGGAGGAGCTTTTGGTGAGCTGAGAAAGGTTACAAGAGAAGGGTTTCTTAGATCAGAGATCTGAGACCAGGGAGAAGAAGGCTGGGAGCAGAGAAAGGTATCAGACTTACGAGAGACAGAGCTTACACAAGGCTGGGTTGTGAATATTTCTTGAGGGGGGGTTCTCAGAAATCCCATATTTAGGAAAATATCTAAAGATTCCCTAGGGAAGGGAGGGAAACTTTCCCATTTTAGGGAAGTTGTTACAAGTTTGTTAGATCTAAGACCAATGTTTTAAGACACAGAGGCATGATGTGAGGCGTTCCACTACCTAGAGGTGTGAGGCGTAGTTCAGAATGTAAGAGACGTAAGCCTCTCAAACACAAGGAGGCACAAACCTCCTTCAGATGAGGGGGAGGAGGAAGAAGAGGAAGGAGGATCTCATTTTTCTTTATTTTTAATAAAAATCTTTCCTTCCATTTCCTTTTCTTTTCTTTCTTTTCTCTTTTTTTCTTCACGTTCTTTCTTTTTCTATCCCTTCCCTTTCTTTTCTTTCCTTTTTCTTTTTTTTTTTTTTGTCTCTATATATGAGGGGTGTGTGAGGCCCATGAGTTATATGCCTCTAGATGATATTTCTGGCATGTTTCTTATATTTAGATGACCAGCATTTCCTACTAGTAAGTTCAGAGATAATCTCTAGGGTCCTCTAATTTGGTTTGTATCTACAATAACAAATCTAGGGATGAGCCTGTCACCGAAGTACTAACCAACTGAATTTTTTGCCTGTGAGTTAAGTTGCTAAACTCTAGGCACTTGCCATTCATCATGTAATTTCATGGATTCGCTCTTGCCTTTTGGTCTAATGAGCTAAATTGCAGTCAGTATGCTCTTAAATTTTATGGAGCACATCTGACCTATACTAGATGTAATATCCACAGATAGTTGGGGCTTTTTGGTACTTGCTAGCTGTTGAACGCAATGATGCATGCTGGCATAAAGCTTGTATTACTAATACAGTTGGAAATGTAACTTGCAACACAAATTACTTGTATTGTGGCAACCGGCATATGCAAGGCTACAGTGAATGGCGACAAATCAGTACAGATGTTCTTAATAGAGTTTGTTCTGCAGAAGGTGACGATCCACCATTTAACTTTGGAATCTATACACTGGCTTTGACCTCTGGTATTGTCACATCCAGGAACTTCCCAACCAAATTCTGCTTTTGTTTGTGGTGGGGTCTACAAAACTTGAGGTAATTCACCCCTCTTGTTCGTTTATTTCTTTCTGTTATTCTACAAGACTCAAATTTTGGGATATTTAGGAGTGTTATCCATTAGAAAATTCTATATTACCTTTTTGGTTAATTAGGATCCAAGATACCATTGCAGTAGAATGTAAGGTTGGTCTATGCCAATAGTAGAGTTTTTCCTATAGATTTCTGGCATGTTAGCTGTTGACATGACACCTGCACAAATATGTAATGAATGCATAATTGGACATTCTGGGCTTATAAACCTTTATTTATTTCTAAAATTACAAGTAGGTAAATGCACAGCATTGCAGTTCAGGTGTTACCTGGGACATTTATTCTTTTCTTATATTTGGTAATTTCTGAAGTGCAGAAACACAAATATTTGGATGCCTACTTACATGGGTATATTGTTATATAGCATTATCTACATTTCATGATTTTAAGGGTCTGTCATGTCTGAATCGGGAACCTCATCTCTTTGTTTAAAATCATGTTGAAGAGATGTTGAAGAAGAAGAAGAAGAAGAAGAAGAAGAAGAAGAAGAAGAAGGAAGAAGGAAGAAGGAAGAAGGAGGAGAAGAAGAAGAAGAAGAAGAAGAAGAAGAAGAAGAAGAAGAAGTGTCGAGAATGCTTTGTGTGGCACTGTTCACACCAAGAGACTTTTCATTTCTTCTTCATAAGCAAAATTACAAAGGTTCCCTTGAATGGGCACCCAAGTACAAAAACACAAAAGGAAAGAAATGCCATCATACTCTTAACACTCCCCCTCAAGCTGAGCATAGATATTTATCATGCCCAGCTTGTTCAAATTGTTGTCGAGCTTTGATTTGGGAACACCTTTAGTAAGACAATCAGCCAATTGGTCTTCAGACCACACATAAGGTAGACAAATCTCTTTACTGGCAACTCTTTCTCTAATGAAATGTCGATCAACCTCTATATGCTTTGTACGATCATGTTGAATAGGGTTGTGGGCTATGCTTATGGCAGCTTGGTTGTCACAATATAATATCATTGGAGTATCAGTTTGCGCTACCATTTCTTTCAACAAGTTCTTCAACCACAACAATTCTGAGACTCCATGTGCCATAGCTCTGTGCTCTGCCTCTGTACTAGATTGAGCCATAACCGATTGTTTCTTACTTCTCCAAGATACAACATTACCACCCACCAAAGTACAAAAGCCAGAAGTAGACCGCCTATCATCAATAGAACCTACCCAGTCAACATCAGAATAGGCCTCTACCTTCATATGCCCATGATTAGAATACAATATCCCCTTTCTTGGACATCCCTTCAATTAGGCAAGTATTCTATTCACTGCTTGCATATGAAATGATCTAGGCTTGTGCATGTATTGGCTGACAACATTCACAGCATATGATATATCTGGTCTAGTCAGACACAAGTAGAGAAGGCGACCAACAAGTGAAGAAGAACATCTCCATCATCAACTCCCAGCTTATGATTGGGATCAGTTGGAGTTCCATCTGGTTTACAATCCAATTTTTCTACCTCCCGAAGCAAATCAAGGACATATTTCCTCTGAGAAATATAAATGCCCCTCTTTGACCTTGCTACCTCAATCCCTAGGAAATACCGGAGATTTCCGAGATCCTTAATTTCAAATTCAGTAGCAAGGAAAGACTTCAGTTCAGCAATCCCAGAGATATCATCCCTTATGATAACAATATCATCAACATATACAATAAACATAGTTATGTTTCCATTTGCTCTCCTAATAAACAGGGTATGGTCAACTTGTAACTGTGAGAAGTCAACTTTTAAGATAGCTTTCCTGAATCTGTTAAACCAAGCTTGAGGGAACTATTTAAGGCCATAAAGGGATTTCTTCAAACGACAAACCTTTCCTTCACTCCTAAGGATGTTCACTCCTGGAGGAAGTTCCATGTAAACTTCTTCCTGAAGGTCTCCATTAAGGAAGGCATTCTTAACATTCATTTGATACAAGGGCCAAGAATAGTGGGCTGCAAGAAACATGATAACTCGGATTGAATTCATCTTGGCTACTGGCTCAAATGTTTCCTAGTAATCAATGCCATAGGACTGGGTGTACCCTTTTTCCACAAGTCGAGCTTTGTACATTTCAATTGAGCCATCAGCTTTATGCTTCACTGTGTAAACCCACTTGCATCCAATAGGAATTTTGCCTTATGGAAGAGAAACAATTTCCCATGTCTGTTTTTTTTTTTTTGAGTGCCTCCATTTCCTGGTTCATAGCATCCTTCCAATGAGAAAACTACACTGCCTCAATAACATTGTAAGGGATAAAAACAGAAGCAATAGAAGAGATATAGGCACAATAAGAGGGTGACTAAGTATCATAAGACACATAGTTTGAGATAGGATACTTAGCACATGTTCGTCTTGCTTTACAAATTGCAATAGGAAGGTTGAGGTCAGAATCTACAAGAGGAGGTTCAACAATAGATTCAACACAAGCATTCGAAACAAAAAGAGGTTCAGAATCCAAATTACCTGAGTCCAGGAGGTCAAATTCTAATGGACATTCAATCTCTAGAGTATCCTCTTTCTTCGTCTGACGAACCACTGATGTCAAGACCGAGGAATAGGAGGAGGCACGAGAGGACTACTACGATCATAGGGAGGAGGAGGAGGAGAAGAAGGATTAACAACATCAATTGCAGGAATTAGCATACAAAAGGGAGTCCGATCTTCATTAACATCCTCCCCCTGAAGAGAAGGACGAGAGACAGAGAAAAAGGGAGTAGACTCAAAGAATGTGACATCTTTGGACACTTACCTTTTTCCAGAACAAGGGTCATAACAATGATACCTCTTTTGAACTGAAGAATATCCCAAGAAGACACACTTGATAGACTTTGGATCAAATTTCAGCCTAGAAGGACTCATGTCATGGACGAAGCAAACACACCCAAAAACCTAGGGAGGAAGATGGAATGTATCCTCATCAGGAAAAAGAAGTTGATGAGGAGACTAGAGATGCAGGGTCTGCGAGGAAAGTCTGTTAATAAGATATACAACTGTTTGAGCAACATCCCCCCAAAACCGAGTTGGAACATGCATCTGGAATAACAAGCCTCTGGCAACTTCAATCACATGTCTGTTTTTCCTCTCTGATACCCCATTTTGTTGGGGAGTATGAGGGCAAGAACTTTGGTGAATCACTCCTTTTTCTTCAAGGAAGGTTTGAAAGTGCTTCTCAAAGTACTCCTTGGCATTGTCAGATCTAATAATCTTAATCTTCTTCTCGATCTGTGTCTCCACCATACTAAAGAAGCCTTTCACAATTGAAGGAACTTCATCTCAGCTTCTCATCAAATACAACCAAGTATACCGCAAGTAGTCATCAACAAAGAGAATGAAATATTTGTAGCCACCCATACATGGAATACAATAAGGTCCCCAAACATCAGTATGTATTAAATGAAAAGCAACATTACTTCTTTTGTTACTTGCAAAAAAGGTTGTTCTACATTGCTTTGATAGTTGACAGACTTCACATTGCAGACCAGAACTAGACAAGGACTCAAACAAACTAGGAAACAAAAACTGCAAGAAACCAAAAGACACATGCCAAGACGATGATGCCACAATTTCAATTGACTTAGTTTCTCATCATGACAAGACACAGACTAGCACATCAACCCTAACATTGGAGACTAATCAAGAAGATAAACTCCATCGGCTTCATGTCCATTGCCAATCGTGTTCCCTATACTCAGGTCCTGAAAGACACAATGAGATGGAAAGAAGGTTACAAAGCAATTATGAGACTTTGTAAGAGAACTAACAGATAAGAGATTTCTATGCAATTGTGGAACATGGAGTACAGAGTTCAAAGAAAGGCTATTGGTAAATTTAACTTCATCCAAACCCAATATTGGGATCTGGGATCCATTGGCAACGGTAATCGTACCTTTCCCTGAAAAAAGTCTAAGTGGTAAAGCAGGAAGGCATACCAATCATATGATCACTAGCTCCTGTGTCAATTGTCCAAGAGCTAGAGGGTGGGACATGACATGCAAGTGCAGTACCTGATTTTGCAAAGGCTCTAGAAGAAGCATTTGAACCAGTAAATGTATGCAACCTGCTCTTTTCAAGATGGTGTAAGATGCCTCTCAATTTTTCCATCACATCAGAGGTGTCATGAGTAGATGCCAGAGTCTGAGAATCATGACTTGTAGTAGCAACATGAGCATTTACTTTCTTTCCAGTTTTAAGCTTCTCAGGTTTCAGGTGGGGATTTAGTTTCCAACATCTATCCTTGGTATGCTTCGGCTTCTTATAGTATTCACAAAATACCTCTTCGTGTTTACCAAAACTCTGCTTAGGCTTTGTGGACACAAGAGCAGTGTGCTCACCTACAGACACTTGCATTATAGCATTCCTCCTACTCTCTTCATTTTGTACAAGAGAATATGCTATGGGGAGTGACAAAATATCAGCACTAAGGATGTGTTGCCTAGTGAAGTCATAATCAGCATTCAGCCCAACAAGAAAATTGAAAACTCGAGTTTTTTCAATGTACTTCCTGTATTGTTCAGCATCAACAGGATCTTTCCACTCCAAAGCCTCAAGATGGTCAATTTCTTCCCAAATTGATTGTAAGGAGGAGAAATACATGGCCACTGATTTCTCCCCCTGTCGCATATTACATTCTTCTCTTCGCAACTGATAGATCCTAGCAGTGTTTTTCGCTTGAGATTAAGTTGTAGTTAGTCTGTCCCAAATATTTTTAGCTGTTGGAAGGATCATATAGTTACGGGTGACGTGTGGTTGCATAAAGCATACAAGCCATGACATAACCAACAAATTATCCTGCTCCCATTTGGAATAGTGTGGATCTTCAGGCTTCTGCTTAGCTTCCTTATCGGTAATAAATCCAAGCTTACCTCTTCCACCAATTGTAAGCTTGGCTGATTGAGACCACTCAAGAAAATTTGTCGCATCAAGTTTTACAGTAGTAATTTGTCCTCCAGCATTGTCATTGCTTCCCGGGAGAACATAGGTAGGTATCCGGACGTCTTTGTATGAGTCCATTGATCACAACCCCTCGAAAAAAAAAATCTCACCAGTACCACAGTCTTCCAACAACAGCTGAACTCCCAGACACCTTTTCCACAAGATTAGACACGAGTTACAACAAAAAACCTAGGAAAAATAGGTATTGGAGGAAAAATATGGAAAGAAAAAAATTCCCAAAAAAATTTTAGGGCTCTAAAAAATTCAGGACTACTTCCTACAGTCCCAAGGGTTTATCACGACTCAAACACAAGAGGTTTCAGTAGTAACCAATCCACCATACGAGCATGCAAGCCCTAAATTCCAGATCTGGATTTTTTGCCAATTTTCATCCGAAAAATCCAAAACAACTTCAAACCACCATGAAACTTATACCAAAATTCCCCTAAAATCAGGGCGAATCAGTGACCATAAAAAACCCATGAAGATGCCGCCAACTGTACGGACTGCTGATGTCAACTGGCTGCGTGCTGATGTCAGTAGATCTGTCTGTGAATCATGACCAGCAGCAAAGAGTTTTCTTGATTGTGTCGAGAATGGTTGGTGTGGTACTGTTCACACCAAGAGACTTTTCATTTCTTCTTCATAAACAAAATTACAAAGGTGCCCTTGAATAGGCACCCAAATACAAGACACAAAAGGACAGAAATGCCCTCATGCTCTTAACAAAGGGTCTGTCATGTCTGAATCGGAAACCTCATCTCTTTGTTTAAAATCATGTTAGTTATCCACTACATGGGTCTACACAGCTATAGAGGATACACATGTAAGGGTCCAATTTTATGAGTTTGAAGTAGGGGAGCACATTGTTTTTGGGACCACAGGATGCATAATTGTAATCTAAGGCCAAAACATGGCTCCCATGTAAGATAGTACATATGCCAAAGACCAGTGTGAACAGCTGAGGTTGGGGGTAACTGTCTGTCCCTTGCAAGGCTCTGCTCACAATTAGCTCTTTTCCAAAATGTTTGATTGAATGGTCATAACCATCCTATTATTGCAATGGATGCAACATCTGAAGGGATGAGAGATCCATCATATGGATGGCCGAACCCTGCAAGAAGGTTGGGCGAAATTTCAAAAATTTCTCTCTCTCATCTGGGAATCGCATTCCCTATTTTAGAAAACTGCATTTTCAATGATCAATCTTGAACGCAAAACCAGACCAGATCTGAAACCAAAAGGGAGCAGAGGGATATACCTGATACGAAGTAGCAGTAACTCCCAATGAAGGTGTTCACGCCCAAGAAGAAGACCAAAACCCGCCCAATTACTAAACGATGTAGGTTCTAACATCCAAATTCAAGTGATTGGGTTGGATGCAAGATCCAGTGTTGGATCTTCAGAGACCATTGACGGCCCTACCTATATGGTTGCGGTATGCTCCAGTTGGGTTGGATTAGCTAAGATGTCATCTCAGCCAGCTGTTGGGCCTAACAAGAAAATATCGTTTACAATATTTTCTTGTATAAGTTAATCACCCAATTGATAGGCAGCAATATTTTCTTGTCGTTTACAATATTTTTGCAATTTACAATCAAATGAATGGACTTGAAGTTATATAGTATGCATGTAGCTTAAAAAAGTTATACTGTCTGCATCTCCATATTTGTTCCAAATGGCTAAATGATAGGTTAGATCTGACTACAGCATGAATATCCTCATACCAACCAGATAGTCCTCAACTCACTCCAGTATTACTATTCCCATCCATTACACTGATACTTGATAAGATAGAAAACATTTACAGATATACTTATCCTGTTATTCAATCAATAATTACATGTATATATCCCAACAATTTTCTTGGGATAAGCATCCAACTGGTTTACAAACTGTTCTTTTGTCTAAAATTGTTCGACTGAAGTGGTGGTATTCTCTTTTTTAATTTTCCTTTCATTGGTTCATTCACATTTAAGTAACTAATAAGTTCATAGTCTGATCAATATGTTTGATACTTTGATTTACAGTCTTGACATTTCTTTTACTTTCAACAGTACCCTTGGCCAGGGGCTAGAAACCAGTACGTATCCTGGAGAGGTTATCTTTTCCATAGCACTTGCTATTTTTGGACTTATCCTGTTTGCTCTTCTAATTGGCAACATGCAGGTAAATTCAGAACCTATTTATTTGTTTACTGACTAATGGTTGTTTATGAATAATGGGAAAAAACCTTAGAGAAAGAAGAAGAAGATAGAATAAATAGAAACAAATTGGTAGAATGGCTGCTTGGCCTTCCTCCACTACTCTTGTTAATTTATTACTAATAACAATTAACAAGTCATTGTTCTAGGACAAGAATGACCTTGATAAAATACAAGTAATATGGCTCCTTAATTGATACATATTATGCACAAAGGTGCAAGTGGCCCCAATCTACTTGAACCGACAACATTCTTCAATTTCATCTTCATAAATCCAGGTTCACAGGAGACATGGGAAAGTTAGATGTAGCTCAAGTAAACCATTTAGTAAGGGTACAACTTGTGTGACATAATGTGCCTAACCAAGCACTACTTTAGTTATACTAGATGAACGGTCAACCATAACCTGGGTAAGTATAGGTTCTGAACCCATTTTTGTATTTCTCTGTTTGTGTGTTTTATGCTTAGAAAAAAAAAAAAGAGAGAGAGAAGGGAGAAGGAAGAGAGAAAATGCAAAATAGGTAGCAGAATCAAGAATAACTCGTGCAAGTGGGACATATCGTAAGTAATAAAAACAGAATATAATGTCAAGTAAAATTACTGTATTACTCCTAGCTATGCACATGATAACACTGCTATTAGCACTAAAAACAGTAGAAAGAGGGAAGAAGAAGAGAGAAGGGAGAGGAGAAGAGGAAGAGTTGAGATCTTCAATTGGATCCAGCGGGGCCAGATTTTATTAATATATATAGGCAACAATTAAAAAACATCAAAAAGAGTTGAGATCTCCAAGTGACTAAGTTTCCTTCCACAAAAGTACAATATCCATTGTTAGACTTTTTGTCATCAACTGCCCTTGCCCAGTCGGTATCGATATACACTTCAACTTTCAAATGCCCATGCTTCTAGAATAACAAACCAGCCCTTGGAACTTCTTGAGGCATCTAAGAATCATTTCTGCAGCTTCAAAGTGTGTAGTCTTGGGGTTATGCATAAACTGATTGAGGACACCCACAGAATAAGAAATGTCGGGCCTGGTCATGGATAGATATAAGAGTCTCCCTACAAGTCTCTGGAACTTATTCACATCTTTTATAGCTTCCCCCTAACTATCACCCGACTAACGATTAGGGCCAATGTGTGAATCAATTGGTTTCACTCCTAACTTGCCTATGTCTTCTAATAGATTTAGGACATATTTCCTTTAAGAGATAAAGATGCCCTTTTGAGAGTGAACAACTTCAATCCCAAGGAAATAATGTAAGGGACCCAAATTTTTCACCTCAAATTGAGTGGTTAAGTATTCCTTCAACTTATATATTTCAGTTTTCCAATCCCCTGTGACCACTATGTCATCAACATATACAGTTAGAGCTGCAATTTTCCCATCGCCTCAGTAGAAGTTCAGGACTGTTATCAGTCTTGAACCCTAATGGATTTCAGGTTCGAAAATAAGAAGAAAGGTAAGAGAAGAGAGGAGGAAGAGGGAGGAGAAGCAGTAGAAAACAAGAGTTGAAAGGAGGAGCAAAAGCTTAATGTTCTGCCGCCACCACTTTAATTAATATTTATAGGTTATGCTCATTACATGGAAAGAACAGATCTGCCCTTAGTCTTTACATAACATAATAGTGCAAAATAAGACTGAAACAAATAGCAACTGAAACAACTAAATGACCAACGGCTAACCCTAGGAAGACTAGAACACCTACCGTACGAACACAGTGGGACCGTAGTTGTGGGGCCCACATCAGTGTTCTCTACACTCCCCCTCAAGTTGGGAATAAATGTTTATCATTCCCAMYTTGGATAGATCCGCCTCTAGCTTCTTCCGTGGTACAGCTTTGGTGAGGATATCTGCCAGCTGCATGTTGGAGGTGATGTACAGGAGACACACTTCTTGTGATGAGACCC